AGTGTCATAAACAGCATGTCTGCTTTCGACGAGGACCATGTCATCTTATCACGGCCACTATGTGAGTGCTCACCTAGGCTGCTTCGAGGAGTGTGGTGGGGTGACACACAGGAGCAGCAGTGCCAGATGAGCCATGTGGACTTCTGGGAAAGTGACTAGGGGAATGTGGGTGGACTACAGCAATGTTAGTAGAAAAGGTGAGGAAAGCATTCACATTGTTTTAGACACGGGACAGAGCTCCAGAAAGTGAAGTGGGGTGGGGTTGCCCTGGAGTGCACACAGAAGGGACAAGAGCTCATACTGTACTTCACTGTGACAGACCAGCGAACGTGAGGTGTCGGTGCTCAGAACCCTTTACAGACAAAGCAAAAGCACCTGACACTGTCTAATAACCAGACAGTAATACCACTAATCATAAGAGCACCATATTATCACAGATCTGTGTCAGCTCTGGAGATATAAGGGACCTCAGGGAAGTTATTTAAACCCTCTTCACTTTCTTTCCTGTTTTATAAATGAGGGAATAACAGTTCCTACTTACAGAATGATTGTAGTGTTTATTAAAAAAATTCACATGAGCATATTGACACGTAGGAAGGGCTCACTCAATATTAGTTATTGTTCATTATTAGAATAATCATGACCTCCACCTCATTAAAAAGAAAACAAAAAAGAGAAACATTTAAGCTTTCAAAAACACGGCAGTTTCGAGATCTTACAGCATTATATGGTTTATAACAAGTCACACAGCTCAAGTGTTAGAGCTGATCTTTGACCCAGATCTGTCTGATACCACCAAGGGTGTTTTTGATGATGCTACATAATGTTCCAAAGGGAAAGAAGGGACCATCTCCCCACCTGTCCTCTTTCATTTGGGAAGGTTCTATGCTGGGAGAGCTGGTTCTGCTGCTAGATCAGACTGCAGCTCAGGGAGGGGAGACCCTCTCCTGGGCAATAGTTGGGGTGGTGGTGATTTTGACTGTTCATTCCATCCCTTGTTAGGTGGTAACATATCCCACACCACAGAAGGCATAGCAAGCTTGATCCTTGAGGTGTGTTAGAATAAGGAATTATTAGAATAAGTCATTACAATAAGGAATCTTGTCAGAAGATCATGATGGTGCTTGGTGGGTAATAACCATTTTGCCATGTCACAACATAAACATGAAGGGGACTCATTAGGGTGCTGACTTTACAAATAGGAAAATGCCTTAAATATATGAAATTCTTACCTGAGATTGCTCACCTTGAAAGAGAGACGTAGGATTTGAACCCAGCTCCTATCAGCTACACTGATTCTTTCAACCTGTAATTTTTGTCTCCATCTATGCTGCCCCTTCCATCTCATGCTCAGGGCCCTCTAATTTTTCTCTTTCCCCTTTGGCTCAGTTGTCAACAACCTCCCCAGAGATTGTACTGAAGTCTGCCAGTGGTATGCTAGGTTTGGCTTATACTGGCCTACGAGAGGAAGCTGTTATGCTTTCAGGAATATGTGATCCACATATCACACTGGTTAACTGAAATGGCCAAAGGGATTCTTTTTAGAAATAGGCTCCCATGTACTGAAGAGTGACCTCAAACTTACTATATAGCTGAAAATGACCTTGGACCTCGGATTTTCTTCTACCTCTCGAGTGTGGGGTTGTAATTGTGCACCCCCATGGTTACTTTATGCAGGGCTATGGATCAAGCTCAGCTTCATGCATGCTACTCCTCTAGCTGTGCTTCACCCCCACTCCACGAAGGAGTTATTCATAACAGAGAAATCAACAAATGCAACCAATCAAGGCTTCATGACTCCCCTCTGCTAACAGAGTTACTGTGACCCATTTTTTACCAGCATGCTACCAGGCCCTTAACATTCTCTGCTAAGGAACTGCAGATATCCAAGACCATTTTATAAAATGCCTGGCAGGCACAGGGAGCATCAAAAGCTATGTCTGTGCATGTCATCACCTGCAAGCACTCTATCTGCCTGATCCACTGTTTCGGTAGTTGGAAGAAGGTTCTGGGAGGCCAGAACCACTTTCACAACACAGTACAGGGAGACAGGCATATAATCCCCAACTACATTCATATTTAAATAGAAGTTCACTCCATTCAGAGTAAAAGACAATGGGCAAGGATATTTACAGTCAGACTGAACACAGATGCTAGCATTTGTTCTTGAGTATTTTCTTCACGTGGTGTTCCAGTTTGAGAGGGAGTTGACCATTAAGGAACACAATCATTTATTTATTTATTTATTTATTTATTTATTTATTTATTTAT